GACTTAAAGTGCTGAAATCCAGGGTTCTATTCCCTATGCTGGACAGAGTGCACATAGCTTATTCTATTATAAACAAACTTAGTATATTGGTGTTTTGTCTGTAGACACAAGTAATTTGTATCCTCTATTTGACTACATGTGTAATAATAATAATAATTGCTTCTTTTTGATAAGATGTATTTTTAGACTGTAGAAGTTATCTGATGTACAGTAAATAAATAGTTATACAAAAAATTAGATTTTAGGGTTCAAGAAATTGTTTTGTTAGAAATTATTTTTTTTCTTTTACTACTCTATAAACATGTTATAAAGTGTAGATCAAGGGTTACTCAACTAAGGTTTGCAGTTCGAATGTGACACAAATTCTGATGAGTTCTATTACGTTGATTTTAAATACTTTATTTTCTGAATGATTAAACTAACTTCCTATCTAAGGAACCATTATTTTACACCTGAGTCACAGTTTAATAAAATATTTTTTTGAGCTACAGAGTTATTATAATTATAAGGCATACATAGGATATTTTGTTTGTGTTGTAGGTTTCCCTACTAGTCCTGGTCAGCTGTTTAGTCATACAGCTCCAACATTAGACCACAAGCTTGTAAGTTTGGCGGGACAGTTCGACCCACAACTACAAATGGTTTTGCTTCCACAACATCAGTTGAGAGGTCAGTCACTGGCTCCTGGACAAGTAAGGATAGCAGGCCCTCATCCACGCATGTCCACAGGTTTTGGAGAGAATGTCAATAAGCTTTGTGATTTACAGTCTAAGCAGCAACAGTCTCCATTGCCACAACACCAGCATGTGACTGGTAAGAATATACTGTTAAGTAATAATGTTTATAATCTATGAAATGAGAAATACGATTTTTGATAAGTTTTCACTTAACTATGCCCATTAAAATTGTTACTTTCAGTCATATGAAAGTTTAAAATACTCTTTTATGTTATATTTTTGCTGAGGTTTTTTTAATGATATACTATGCATCATGTAGTTAAGTGCTGTTTTTTGATGAGATCTTTTTAAAATATTTGTATGTTGATATTTACATTTTTAGCATGGATCTTTACAAGATATTTTCTGTGTCACATAGTTAAATATCTTGTTAACCCTCATGTTACAAACTTGGCTTTTATGCTGTTTGTTACTGGTGGGATCCATATATTGCATCATATTGGGTAATTTTATGGTTTTTGACTGTTTCAACACTTGATGTAATGAACTGATCAAAAGAATTAGGTGAAATCATTCATTTTCTATGTAAAATCCTTAGGAAACTCCAATAATAATTAATAGGACTTATTGTAGTGCTGATGGTTGTTTTGTTTATATTTGTTTGTGTGGCTAATGTGTTATTAAAGACCCTCTAACCAACAAAGTAATCGATCCACAAGCAAATGTATGTGTAGTTTTGAAAAGTGTTAATAAACAAAACAAATCAGGATCATATCGTTAATACAACGCAAGACATTTAGTATGTTGTGTAGTTAAGTATCCTCCATGTTTTTTGTAGCCTTATGGCTTATAAAATGTTGCACAATGACTTCCTGTTGTAAGTTGTTATTGTTCATACAGAATTTATGTATTTTTATGCAGGTTATATGATTGTTCCAGTATGCAATAAATTAAAAAAACATACGAAAAGAAACTGGTAAAGATAAATGTGTTAATGAATATAAAACAACTAAAAGATTGATTGGATGTATAATATTGAATTTTCTGACCAGTGATAAGAATAGTTTTTAGTTTTACTATTTCTTTCATACTTTTTACAGTTTTCTTCATTTTGTATGGTGTTATTAGAATAAAAACAATGTTTAGTTTGATGTAAACAAAAACTTTGAGATACCTTTACAAGGTTTAAGAAATTCAGTAACAATGAAAATCCAAGATGGAAGTATTTTTATTTTTTCTAAAACAGCATTTCAAAACAAATTTCTAAAGTTTAAGCAACTAAAAATTCATAAAGATACTAAATATAATTGCATACGTGTTTTTTATATTCATAGAAATTAAATATTTGTTTGACATTTGTGTTGTGTACGGTTTAATTTAATAGTTTATTTGTGCATTTCCCCCACCCCTACCCTACAACGAAAAAAAAGTTTAATAATGACTCTTCATTTGATACACCCAGTCCAGAAATGGTTAAAACAATCATACCTCAGGAAAGTAGTTTAAAAAATTTGTTTTATTAAGTAAATGATTCACAATATTTAAAGAAGATTTTTGTGATTAATAATCATATTAAATTTAAGTAAACTTGTACTTCCAGGAGATGTACTTGGTAGTTTTGGTCAACCAGCAGTCTGCAGTTCGCTTTCTCAAATACCTGAACACCACAAGTCAACAGTTATACTTTCAGTATTGCCTCATGCTAGAAAAGAGGGTATTAACCCTCCTATTGGGCATCGTTTCCCAGTTGCCTGCTCAGAATTAACTCGCCACACTGTTTCAGTTTCTCAGGCTTTGAACCGCTTTGTTGTCTCCTCAAATTGTGGTTTCAACCAACCTTTAACTACCTGTGGCATAATGTCTCACATTACTCAGCCATCTGCTTCTACTATCAGCCAGTCAATGACAGGTCTACATCAACAACCACAAAGTTTCCAAGCACATTTAATCATGAGACAAAGTGTGGCCTCAGATGTTAGCATAAACAAGGCTGTTTTTGCTCGTCCGGGTCATACTTCTGCATCAGAGGGTAAATCTGAATCTAGTTTGTTAGAAACATCTGCTTTTGAAGAAACTCCTCAGAGAAGGACCACTCCAGAAGATTTGGTGAATGTAGTAAATGAACAGACTGTGACTCATGAGACCGAATGTGAAGTTGGTGACGAGCTGGATGATGATGATGATGAATTGTTAGGTAAGAGTAATATCATGTTATTAGCATTGTGGTTTTGTTCTTGATTTTCCAGAATTAGTTATATTGACAACTCTCAGTCATAGACTTTCTTGCTGAAAATTATAGACAGTATGTGTTTTGTTCTGGGATATCAGGCTAACATTACTTGGTGAATAAAGTGACTGGCCAGTTTGATTTTCTTGTTAATCCAGCTAAACTTTAGATCCAGCATGAATCACATTGAATGAACCATTTGATAAACAATTTTCAGTTAAGAAGCATATATATACCAGTTTCTGCATTGGAATTCACACTTTTAATTTAATATTCAAGATTTATCAACACATACTTATAACTAGTGTTTCTGTAGTTAAAGGTGTTTAAAATCTTTGACAAATTGTGTTATTAGAACATTTTTTGGCATATGAGATAATAAATAGGAAGTATGGGGGAAACAAATCCCAGTGTGAATTTTACACGTTGAAGAAATTATAAAGTTTTAGGATTATATTTTCCACTTTTGACCATATTACAACACTAGACATGTCCCTACTTGTATAGTTTCAGGACCTGGGCCCGTAAGGAACTTGTACTGATCAATCAGGAGTAGGTACTAAGCTAAGATAAAACTATTCCTATTTATGGATACAACTTCTGTGTACTGTATCATTTATTGTAGTGATATATACATAATCTATCTTCTCTCTTACAAGTGTATTTTACGAGAGCAAACTTTTACTGTCAATATGGCTGTTACATGGTGAAACAGCAATGCTAAGTTGCATGGAGATTTTCTAGTGGCAGTTAACAATGTATTTAAAATTTTGGTCAGTGTTAGTTACAGTGTAATGAAAAGACTAATCTTTAGTTGAAAATAAGATGAAATGTATTGTTTTAGATTTCAGAAAAACTAATGCACAGTGAAGAGTTGTAAACATTGTTGGAATAACTCATATGATTTATTTGTAGAAAAACTGTGTGTGTGTGTGTATGTATGTATGTATGTATTTCTTATTTTCCCAACATACTGCCTTGTAGCTTCTTCGGGAGAGTATAGTAAAGCCTAAACTAACAGTGAAATTTAGAACAAAATATAAAATGCTGTACACATTATACACACAAACAGGACAGCTGTGGTTCAAACGTACGTAGCTGCAACAATGTAATTAAAAAGTTGAAATGTAAGCTGTAAGTCTTAACAGAGTAGTTCAAAATAATGAAGGTAGCACTGAAATATAAAAAGTTTGTTTTCACAAGTTTTTGAATAGTTTTAAACTTTTAATTCCACTTTGGTTTGTGCCTTTAGCCCTCGGTGGCTAAACAGTAAGTCTGGAGGCTTATAATTTCAAAACCCAGGTTTTAATACCCATCGTGTGTACAGCACAGATAGTCCATTGTGTGGCTTTGTGCTTAACAACAAACAAAATTATGCTTGTAAAAGATACTGTCAAGTGTTTCTGACAGTTAAATGTTTGTATTTGTTGTTTTTCTAATCACTAAAATCTTGAACAGTTGAGTGACATTTTTCTCATTCTTCTTTGCCTGCCAAGTAACATAACATTTTTGGACTTTACAGTTCTATATTTAACAAAATGAGTACAAAAAAGGCAAATTGTACATTAACTTTGTACAGTGGAAGGGAGTATAACCAGCAAAGCATTCTGTAGCTGTGTTAAGTGACATTCATTTTTAGTTTTTAGTGATCAAAATATCATACAATAGAATTATAAGAGCATTCCTATGTTGTAAATAGCACCTGAATTAACAAGTTTTCTTCATGCCTAGATTAATAAGCCCTTTGAACCAAAAAAAATTCTTGAACCTTAACAACATTATTGTTGTTCTATTAATTATTTTATGTTCTTTCCAGTGATGTGTTCATTTTTTGGATGCGTTGAATAATTTATTACATGTTAAAGTGGATCCCATATTTAATTTCAGCTTCAATTGTTCTATTACAGGTCTCGGCAATGATTTTAATATTTTGGAATATGCTGATCCAGAACTTGTTGACAAAGGACTTTTTGGAGATGGAGAGACAAATAACATTTTAGATGAACACCTCGATCTGGACGATAAAGATGATATGAAATGTAAAACTAACACAGGTGATAAAGCATGTAGAAATAGTATAAAAAAAGACCAGTGTATTCCATTTCAAGTTGGAGATGAGACAAATGTTGAAAAGAATGAGAAATCCTTCCAAAATGTACAAGTAAGTAGGCCTAGCTCATATAATTTTCAGGCTAAATTCAGTCAGTATAGCAGTTTAGAAAGAGTGAAAGATTTAAAGGAAGGTGTACTTGAAGATAGACTGGTGGGTTTTTCAGGAATTACGAAATCTGAGGCCTCAGATTCTGAATTAGTGTCTCATCTTTCTAAGGTTCTTGATAGTAGTCAGAAATCTGTAGAAGATAAGCAGCTTCTGTCAGAAGGTGTTGGAGTGCCATCAGCAGAATCTGTTTATCGTTTGCTTATAAAATCTGGTTCACCTGTACTTCAGACACATCAAGGAAACACAGGAGTCAAACCAGTGTCTCAAGTTTCAACTGTAAGTCGATCATCCGTATCTACACCTGTTTCTAGTAGTCAAGGAAGTGTAGGGGTTACACAACTTCCAAATAAAGTGCTCTTATCTCATTCTGCTCAGTACATTCCAAATGTGCCTTCTCCACTATCATATCCTATTGATAATACTCATTCGTCTCAACCTTCACCTGCTTCCCATCCCCAGCATAGACTTTTTATACAAAGACCAGGCCAGGTTGTTACTGTAATTCGTAGAACTTCACAACCACCTGTACGAAGGTGTGAAGCTGGTCAAAGCGACCAACATTCATTGATCGAGAACCATTCACTCCTTTTGGAAGAACTTGTTCAGAGAGAAAAGCAGGAACAACATGGGAAAAGCCAAGATGGTCTGGCATCTCTTCCTGCTGATGCACTTCTAAATGATGTGGATTTTGAACAGTTAAAAGCTGATGTGCTCTCATGTTTTCCTGATGATTCTTTTGGAGGGCCTGGTACAATGCCATCTACTCAAGATTTGTCACAATCAACAGTCACTTCTCTAGATAGTCCTAAACTTTCAAGACCTATACCATCACAGTTTTTTCATGAGGCACAGAAACAGAGGCATCAAACACAACAGCCAGTAGGTTGGCAAGGTCATCGTCAAGTTCTTGTGTCATCTTCTGGATCCACAGTTCCCGGGTCTCCTAATCCAGATCAGAAACCTTTTTTAGGAGTATCCAATGTTTCTGCTTCAGTGGGTTCACAGGGAGGACCTGTGACTCATGGAGAACCTCATGTTAGGCATGTGACTTCTAGACAAACTTCTCCGGGTATGTCTTTATGTCACAAATTTATTATGTTGATTATGAAAGTTGAAGTTTATACATTTTGTTAGAAAGTGACAAGTGTAATTAAACATCACAATAAGAAGAAATCTTTTTGGATACTAGACTTTTAGATGGTCCAATAGCTGAAAGACTATTGTGTACTTATTAGTAAGTGGATTGAGCAACTTTAATTATTTAAAGTGTATTTAAATTAATATTTTCATTCTGTTTGTATACATAACTAATAAGATTTTACAGTTTGCAGCATTTCATAGGATTTTTTTAAGCAAGAGATTATTATTTATTCATTTACTATTCTGGCTTCAAAGTTCTCCATGCATAAAATAACAGTAAAATAAATTCCATTCTAGAGTTGATGTTTTGGTTATTTCAAGTGTTCTTTTGTAGCATTAGGAATTAATTCTACATTAGTTCTAAGGACAAAAAAAAATTACAGATTAAGAAAAAAATCTAATGATATAGTAGGAAACAGTGATGCTCCTCCTCATCATGGATCCTACATGATTACTTCACTGCCAGCTCCTCCACTTCCTCCAGCTGAACCATCAAATGACCAAGAGAGACAGCAGCAATCAAATTACGAACAATGGTTGTTGCAGCAGCAACAACTGTTAAGTTCTAATCAAAAATACCTTGAGACAGAAGTTGGAAAGCTACGAAAAATTAAGAAATCTCTTAATGCGAAACAACGTACATTACGAAAGAATGGTCAGGAATTAGGTGAACGAGATGCAGCTGAACTAGAAAGAATTACCCAAGAGCAAGCAGAGCTCCAGAAACAACTGGACCAGGTACAACGTATTTATATATCTGGAAAACATAATACTTTAAATATTATATTTCTGAAGGGGTATTATAATAGATAATTATCACATGGTATTACAGATAAGTTTGAGCTTCAGCAAGATTCCTTATATATTAGCAGCGATGTGTGTTTCTTGTGAACAAAATAGGGTTAGTATATAATGTTTTTTGTTCTTTTTTAAGATCACCAAGTTTGAGTAAGAAAGCAATGTTCACAATAACTAAAACATAGTCTAGGATTTTCCAAATTTAATAGTCAAACTTGAGAAAATGTATTAGAACTTTAAGAATATAAATACTAACTGACATGCCTGTTTAGTGTTCAGGAAAGACATGGGTGGGGAGGGCAGATCCAAATCTCAGCCCCCACACTCTGCTCATGACATTCATCAGCGGTTCCTATTTAAAAAAATCTGTTGTCCTGAAAGAAAGATACACAGGCGACATACAGACATCCATGAGGTGACATGGGGGCATCAGATTTGAATGCCAACCCTTTTGTCCCTTCCTAGGGGGCCTGCTCTAAGAGTACATGTTAGGTTTAGTGACAATTCACCAGTTATAAGCAGACACACATGCACATACAAACGTTGTCAAATAAGAATAGCAACAGAATAACAAACAAGTTTGTAAAATATTAGCCGGGAAAAGTTGTTCTTGTACATAAAAACACGTTAAGGAACTGAATTCTCAAGATGATCAAAGGCTGACATTTTGAGTAAATAAGAAATTTTCTTACTCTTCAAAAAAAATCTATGATTTCAACTATACTTTATATCATTATGTCCAGTTGAAACCTCTGGTGGTTAAATGTTTATTAGCTGAGTATTATATTTCTGTGTAAACTGACTTAAACTTTTGTTTTACATTTTAATAATTAGGAATAAATAAAATATATAAATTAAGATACTTCAGTTTACAGAAAAGTTTTGATAAAGTTTATCTGTAGAAATCTAACACACACATACTAAGGAAAAATCTACACTTTTAAAAAGTGTCCAAAACATTTTTCTAAACGTCATTGTGTTTGTGTTCAGTTATTATACACTATTATAAAGTGTTTAGTAATTGTAGAATACGTCATAAAACCAAAGAAGTAGGATACACTGTAACATTATACACAAGTGTAATAAATTACATTGTATTATACTACACTATCCTACAATGTGTTGGTGCACTACAGTTTATACCTGCTCAGATAGCAAGCAACTACATATTTAACACTGGCAATTTAATTTAAGAATGTGCAGTATCATTAAATAGTTTGTTTTTTATTATCAGTACAATGTGTTTTCTTATTTCCCAGAAATTTTTGTTGTCCATTTTTAATAATAATAATAATAAACATGCAACCAATTTCTAGGTGAAAGTTTGTCTTGTATTATCATTATTAGCCACGGCATAGCAGCTCATAGAATGGTTCTTGAGTTTATCAAGTACAGACTTTTAGCTCGTAACTCTCTTATCTCTTGACAGATTTGAGATCTAGTTACAGTTTTGGACTCAGGAGGTCAAACCCTTTCGATTGATGTATTTGACCATGCCCAAGGTCTTATAGATTAATTTGCTGTAATTCTGATTAAAGGTATTTCAATTTGAGGGTAAGCTAGTAGAGATCCTGATGAGTAATAAAAATGAATTGGGTTTGTGCACACACTTGCTATTGCTGGTGCAGAAAAATTTTGCTAATAAAAAGGGAAAAAAAGATCTTATAGATTTATTTACTCTAATCCTATCTAAAAGAATTTCAAGAGCAGCTGCTATTAGCGATTCCCTTTTGTATTTTATGTAAGTTAATCTTTTTAAAACAAAAAAAGGCCACATTTCTGTAAGACCCATACACATCTGATTTACTCTATTTATGAGCATTTTATGCACAAATAACCATCCGTGCTCCAAGATACACAGGGTTGTACATATGTATATATATATACCTTCTTTTTAACTATGAAATTAAGCTGTATGTTCTGTTTGCAAATTCTGTTGACCAGGTTGGTTCGTCAACACATACATTGAGGTTGATTAATCAATTAATATTTTTAGTTAAAAGTTCTCTTTCCTGACTTTCTGTCTGACATAGATTAATTATGCTGTCAAAGTTTACAGTGCGAGTTAAGCTACTTTCAACTGCCAGTGTTCATAGATTTATTGGACTGTCTTTGGCAAAGCATCAACTACCTAATTAAAACTTTTATCACACACACATTCATAGAATACACTAACTTTCAGTCAGGGAAAAAACATCACAAAGCAACTAATAAAAAACGTTTTGTAAATGTAAAATGATGTAGGAATGACAGTGCCAAAAAGAATCCATTCAAGAATATATGGATGATACAGCTATACATAGATCATCCCTACATGACTTTCAATATTCAAATTTAATGTTACAATTTTATATGCATACCTGACTTTAATATTACTGCAGTTCAATTCAACCCACCTCGCAACCATTTTGTGCTCATGCATTTTACAGTGTAATATTTAATTTTAATATTGAAAGCCAGGTAGGGATGATATACATATAGCTGTATCGTCCCTATATTCTCGTGTACACTCTTTTTACCACTGCCATCCCTACACCATTTTACATTCACAAAATGTTTTTTATTGCTTGTATTCTAGAAATATAAAAATGGAAAAAAGTTAATTAAGTTGAATGTTTGAAGTTTCTTTTTTTTGACAGTGATTACATAATTTTCATTTCAGCTTTAAAGCAAATAGCTTTTATTTCAGTATTATGCTAGTGATATTCATAAGACAGATACAGACTGCTAACTTGAAATATATAATTTCTTTATTCTCTAACATATTACACCTTTGTTTAATATTAGGGTACTTATTACATAGTCTCTCAACATTTTTATTTTTATTCGACAAATTAACATTCCATGTAATAGTTTTACAGAACGTTGTTTCTTTTGTTTTGTACCTAAAAGCACACTGTGAAAATAGCCCATTTTGCTTTGAAGTATCTGGATATTGAGTTTAGATAAATTCCTTTTCCCCCTTTGTTTATTACAAGTCTTTTAAAATTGTTGAATTATTAACCCATTAAGTGCGACAGGAGCAGTTCAGTTGCTGTTTTCTGACTCACGAATAAAACTGAGTTGCCATCAATCACAATAAAACGGTAAATTTCTTCATTCGCATAGTTATAGTTATATGTGCGACTGACGGATATTTCCGTCATCCGCAGTTAATGGGTTAATGGCAACATTTATTTGGGATATGTTCTAATCTGGTAAAATGTATTAAAGAAAAATGGAGCTAGTTATTACAAATCAGAATATATTTAACTTAAACAAATATAAAGGATTTTATTGTGTGTGTGTTATTTTTTGAAAGGGACACTTTACAAGTGACATGCTTTAAACATATGATTTTAATTTGTAATGGATATGGGATTATAAATATAGTGAACAGTTCTACACGTGTACTTTAAATTTGCTCTATAGTGACAACAGTCTAGTTATTCCTTTAGTAATGAAATTGTGCTTAATGCACTAGATTCAAAAGCTTGTCCCAAATAAGTGGTATAACAAGATATGGAAAAAAAGTCTGTGTATTTTATTTTATTTGATACTCTTTTAATGTTCAACCTCTTAAACATTAATATTTTTAACGGTCTTGTAATTAACCAAGGGTAAAAGATCTAAACTGTAATATGTAGTAATGAAGAATCTTATTAAATAGTCAAGGAACACAACAGGGGTTTTTCTAGGTGCTCATTGTGTTCAGCAGCATTTTAGTCTAGGCTCGCCAAACACCCAGCAACCTACCTGTTCTCTCATATCACAGACTTTCCTGTGGTGGCAGTTTGCATTAGGAGGTCAGAGTGTACATTGGCCATGTTTCTTCCTCTTCTAGGCCACCATCTCTTCCTTTGCTTCACAACATTGACAATAAATAAAGAATATAAGATTGATGACTTGTGTGATACACTAAGCTTTTGTTTTTTTTAGTGGGTTTAGATGTTTAACCATTATAAGCATCTCAAAAAAACTAGGATGAGCTTTTAATTAAGACTTAATATTATAATTAATCTGAATTATAAACCTTGTGAATTTTCATTTCATTGGATCATTTTGATTGTTCAAACAACATATGTGCAAACATAACATTTGTTGTTTGTAAGATTAAAAAAATGTAACCTTTCAATTCAACTGTATTTTAAGTTTGTTAGTCTTAGTTGTAACTATAGTTATATTCAATAGGCAAGGAAGCACTCCCGAAAACATAATGTTTTGTTTCAAGATTATCAAGTGAAACAACAGAAAAAACAATTTCAACAGCAGCAGCATCCACAGATTGCTGGGACTACACAACTACCAACTCAACCTCCTGTCCTATCTCAGGGTCCACCCACACCTTATATGGCTGTGAGTTTTAATACCAATTTAAGGAATGCTTACTTTCCAAGAGCAGTTAGAGTTATTTAATGTTTTTTATTAAATTGTAATTATTATGTATTAATACTTCGAACCAGTTTCTTTTGTGTGTGTGTGTGTGTGTGTATACAATCTTATGATAGTGTACTTAAAATTAAACTTGCCACAAGACAGTACATGTTCACTAGTAAAAGTTTTTGTAGCATATATATTAAACCCTAATATGGCTTATATTTTATCAGTAAACTAAAGAAACTGGTTAGATTTTATTAGAAAATAAAATATAAATATTTCAGATGCACTCTTTATAAAACTTTTGAATAAATATAAAACTTGAATAGAATATATTTCATGGTTTTAAGAATTGTTGACTAGGCTGTGTATGTGTCTTTATTGATATGTGTGAAATAATAAATGCTATTTATAACTTTACCTTTTTCAGCACTGTGGATAGAATGTTACAAAGACCAGAACATGTGTACAAAATACTACATGTATTACATCTCACAGGATTCACTCTGTGTAACTTAATATATGAGCAGTTATATAAGGTTAATAGTTGCCTTTTACATCAGTGTTGCTTTGTGACTGCATGATAAAATTTGATTTTTATTAAAAGCTTTGCTTTATAGGCAGGATCTTTTGATTAAGCAACTTTTGGTGATGATTCTTTAATGTAATTATAAGTTTTGAATAAAATCCTTGTTGATTTCCTATGAATTTGATGGCTAAAATCTCTCATGTGAAGGAAAATGACATAGTTTGTGTTTTCATGTTTAATATGATTTTTTTTATGTTCAGAAACTCTTGTCAACATTTTTTCCAGTTTGACTTACATAACCTTTTTCACAGGATTTTTATGGTTTAATATAGATGTCTTTATTTTGTCTTCAGGTGTTGTTCTGTTTGAAGTTTCATTATTTTTAATAGTGAATCTAAGTTTCAAATGGACAACAACTGCCTGTTGTAGAAACCTGAAGACGAAAGGCGGAATACTTTCAAAACGTCGTCCTCTACAGTTGCTGTCCATTTTAAACTTAGATTCATTATGAATACTCTGCCTAAACAACCTATCAAATATTATTTTTAATGGTGTTTGGATACTTGTCAGTGTAACATAAGTGATGGTGATGATTGTGCTGACCTCTTTCATTTGGATATATTAATTTTGTGTTTATTATAGATATGGTGTGAATTACATGTGTGTTGATCTGTTTTCATTTAGGCATGTTTTGTTAATGTGGTAACTTATGATATGGATAAAGTAAGTTAATGACCCCCCAAAAAAAAATTCTTGATAAGTTGGAAACTGTGTTTGTTAGTAAACTCTGGTGTCTGCTCACACTGCATACATAAAGGCTTTTATGTTCTTTGACTACTATCATTTTGTTGAGTTATTGATTATATGGCATAAACCAGGTTATTTTTACAGATGAAAAAAAATTGCATTAAAAATATACCTGCTATTTGAACTTGTTGTATGTTTATAAAAATAATAATCTAATATATTTCAAGTGTAACAAAGTAATTGTAAAAATACCAATTTGATAAGCCATTGGATGACAGTGCATGGATCTTTAAATTAGTATTGTGAATTGATGTTATATTTATATGTTCATTTGTACAGGATCAAAATGCACCTCAGTCTCCCATGTTGTCACCATCACCCCTGGGAACTTCTCAGTCACCACAATTGCAGCATTCTCAGTCACCTTTAATGCAGCATTCTTCAACTCTAGTTTCACCATCTTCCATAGTCCAACATTTACCTCAAATAGTAACTTCCCAGTCTGGAGCTGCTGCCATGCCTAGTCTTGTACACACTGCTCAAGTAAGTGAAAGGAAATTCATTGCAATTACTTTCAAAGTTGGCACTTGAAAGAAAAATAATTTGCTGGGAAAATACAACATGAAATCTGTACACAGTTACCTTTTAATTAGGGTTTCAATATTTTCCACCTGTTTAATATTTCTTTGAAGTACAATGATTAATGAATAATAAATGTCAGTTCTTTAGTACCATAAAAAGCTTTTAATCTCTTTGTTTTAATACACATGAAGAGCCAGTTTTTACATAATTCTTGGGTATCTCCATTGAGTGCCAATTATCTTGATTCCAATCTGAGAAGTTGAAGTTTTATAGATTGATTTTGAATTTACATCTGTCTTAACAAATTTGCAGCATTAGTTCAAAATGACTTTTAATACTGAATGTTGTTATTTTGCTTAGAAAAGAAATGGCCTTAAAACTGATTTTGTTGTATCTTTTAACAAATACGTGGTTTTCGATAATAACAAGTATGTGTACGTAGAAAAAAAATTGTTGTGGTATGAACAATGAAATTTAAAACAGTCATACATACTTCACCAGCCATGTGCTTTAATTCTTCTTATAGATTTTAGTGACATATTCAACATATAACAGAGTAAAAGGAATATCATATAGATTACGTAATTGTTACTCAGAAGCTGATTTACTCATTGAAAATATGAAAGATTTGATGCCTTATACTAACAGAGTTAAAAACAAAATTATATAGCATGATTTATGGTACACAAACTTTAGTAGAAAATTCTGTATCTTAAATATTGTGGATTTTGTTCTCTAATTGAAACTTTGCTTTATTGCCAAATATGTTGGTTTCTATTCAATTTTTTTAAAATAAATTTATATCTGTGTTTTTACATAACAATCTCAACTGTCCAGATATTGTTTGTAATTTACAAAGGGCATTGTACTTGTTCAATAGTACGTTTACATTTTAAGTGAGCAATTACGTAATAGGTTTTGTAACTGTAACAAGAAAGAGACGATGGAAAGTTGTGTCTTATAATGGGGCTGAAATGGTGGTTCAGAATAAGTTATGTGTGTTATTCTGTATTGAGTATGTACCAAATGCAATAGTAGTTTCATATGGTGTTTTTCACACCTCCAAATTCTTTTGGAGGTGAGTATCTGGGAGTAGGACTGGCGTCCTTGTCCGGACACTGGGTGACCATGTTTTGGTGTGACGGGGATTTGAACCTGCAGATTGCGAGTCGAGTGCCCTAACCACCTGGCCATGCCGAGCCTACCAAATGCAGTTACAAGGTTTTGGCCTCATTAGACGTACATTAATGAATGCATATGACACTATGAATTTATTTATTTTTAAACATCTTGTTCATTATCTCTTTCATAATCAGGAGTATTGATAAATTGTTTACTCTGAATAACAACAGTTATAGAAGCACATCCAGTTGATTGTTACAAGTGTTGTTAAAAGATCAGTTTTAACTGAAAAAAAATATATTAAAAGTTTACCTTTTAATGTAAGAAAATGCAGTAAGCTATAAAACTGGGTAATTTTTTTATGTGCAAATATTATTCAGTATTTTTGTACATACAGTTGTAAATTAGAAGTATTTTTTAAATTTACATTTCCTCATCATGCGGCATAAGCATGTATAGATATATGCATGTTATCTCAATTTGTATCCAAAGTAACGTATTGTATATTTAGAAGAGCTATTGGTTATTTCATTTTTATTTTAATGCACTGATTTTGTGGATGTTCATGTAAATCTAAGTGAAGTGGGATAGACAGGTGTCAGAGTGTGTGATAATGGTAGTGTAGCTCAGTTTATACTAAACTACTCTTAGATGTGAAGAACAAGTTAAAATGATCTGAATTGTTTTATTTCACTTATTCAGCACGGGCTCGGTCCCTG